TGGGGCGGGGCCTGCGCCGCGACCTGGGGTTTGGGGGAGCGCAGGTGCGGGGACCCTGCGGCCGCCTCCCAGAGCCTGTGGCCGTGGGGGCGCAGCTTGCCTGTTCGCTCTCCGCAGCCTGCGCCTGCTTCCCGAGGCGTCTGCTCCGCGAGCTGCAGAGGCACAGCCTGAGTGTGTTAGCTCATTAGCTCGTTTCCTAATTCAGGATAGGCCAGCGAGCAGGTACGAGGTGCCAGGCACTGGGCCGGGCCCTGAGGATGCCCTGGGGAGCGAGCGGGGGAGGCCCGTCTTAGAGCTTCCCGCGCGCCAGGGCGCGAGGTACCAGCTAACAGGTGCGGTGGGTGGCACGCAGGTTCGTTTGCCTGGAACCAGCTTACACCTCTGCAGTTAAGATTTCCACTTTGCTTCGTACTTTTGATTTATTGTCCATCTTTTACGGTGTGTTTTAACCACGTGTACCTCACAGCTTGTGATTTTTAAGCGAATTTTGCAGAGTAATTCTGACGCTTAATGAATGTTTGCTCCGCACGTTGACTTAGAACCGTATGCCCAAACCTAGTCGCAAATGTGAAAGTGAAAATACAGCTTTGTTAAGGGGCAGCGAGAAAGGAGCGGGGAGATGGCTGAGAGGACGGGCGCCTTCCAGCCTAGGGTGCTGTAGGCTGAAACCTGGCGGCAGACGCAGTCGTGTGAGCCCGCGGAGGAGAGGGAGAGCGCACCTCTCCTTCAAGCCCGGAGCGAAAGCCCTGACTCTAGATCCCAAGCCCTGGCGGTCTCGGCCTGCGGCCCACTGAGGCACACTGTGCCCTGGCCCCCCCCCCTCCCCGCCACGCCATCTGGAAACTGCCTGCTGGGCGAGAAGTCGGGAACACCGACTGGCCGCACCTCCTGTTGGCCTTGGGGCTCAAGGCCCGCGAGGTCTGCCGCCCTCTAGGGTACATTCATTCCTAAGCGGGGTGGGGGGGGACCTGCCTTAGAAATGCCAGCAGCCACGCCTTTCCGCCTTTCCATTTCTCTGTCTCCTTTGTTTCTTCAAGACTTTGATAGCTAAATATTTGAAGAATTCTCATCACCTCATCCCCATCCCACCTCTGTACAGGGTGATTGGGTTCTTTGTCCAGAGTGAAGGAGGAGGAGGGAAGGTAACCATTGTAAATGAAACATTTAGATCTCTTTGATCCCCAGAAAGCCTTGATAGTGTCACACCTAATTGAGAGCATGGACTAATTTAGGAGGTGAGAGGTGAATAATCAGCTTCTATTCAGTATAGCAAACAGGACTGCAGCTGCATGGTGCAAGGTCTGGAAAAACACCCACCAGGACCAAAGTCCTATGCTCCATGCCCGCCCCCCCCCACCGCCCCCACATTTACAGAGTGCACCCTTGTCTAGAAGAGAGCCTGCTCATGCGGCTCACAAACAGCACTGAGATGACTTGAGGGAGACGATGATGTCCCGGTTGCTTCCATTCATGGCGAGGCACCGCCCCACCCTGAGCTGCCATTTGTATGCCAGACGGTTCCCATCTTGTATTTGCAGGCTCAGCCTCTCTGAAGCCCAGACTAACTCATTCTGAGGGCCCAGGAACCTCTTTGCTTATGTATCCTATGGCATGGTTCACTGTCTCCTTCCTTGCCTCTCAGACACCACCCTTCTTTCTCAGTCCCAGTGACACAGACACAAACGCATAGGGACCCACATATCTGACTGGATTCCATCTCCATGTCCTGTTGTTTGAGTTGCCAGTTGGGGGTTCGTCATCTCTGATCTTGTCTCGTGCAAACACCTCCCAATTTGTTATTCAGAGTTAGTGGGAGAATCACTTCTTGGTTCTGCTACATGCTGTTTATTCTTTTGTTGGTGAGTATCTGTCGAGTTTCCTAAGATATGTAGCCTCTCCTTTACCCCCATGAAAGTGCGGCTTCCCTGGTCACCATATTTCAGATTGTTGGCCCCCTGCATTCCCTGCTTCTCATCCACATAGGACGTATTCAGAGAAATTGGGAAATGTTAATAGACATGTGCTTTCTGAGTTGTAGGGATTAAATGAGATCATGTATAGATCAAAAGGAAAGTCTATTAGACATCTCCAAAGCAGGCATTTTTATTTTTAGAGTTGTCATATTGCAAGTGGCAAGATTATTTCAAGCTGACTTAAGTATAAAGGACATTATTGGTTGATGCAAATGGGCATGGGTAGACTGGATCTGGTTATTGGTTTGGTTTTCATTTTTGGGGCAAGTTATTTCCATCTATAGCCTCGTAGAAGCTACTTACACATTCTCAGTTCTAGACAGACGAACAGAGCACTTTTTCTTCAATATTTGCAACAGAAGTCTCAAGCCCAGTCTTAAACAGAGGCTCGCAAAAGTGCATGGCCCTGAACATGGAGAATGGGCAGGCTTTCTAACAACATGTATCTCTGTTAGTCCCTCTCAAGGTCAACTGCAGTTTCACCCAAAAAGAATAGGGATGAAGTGTGACACATTAGTCAAAACTAGAGATGTGTGTCTTGGTCCTCGAAGATCATGGAGACTCCAGGGAAACATGAGGTCTGACATTCAACGTTGGTGTTCCGTAAGGCTTGACTTTGAACTCTAAATGTACCTCAAATGGTAGAGCCAGATATATTAGGTAATTGTAACATTCTATCCTGAATTATTTCTTTGACAACATTTTGTTGAAATTGACTTTTTTCCCTTTCATTTTTTTATGTTTCTAGAAATGGTGAAAATATCATTTCCCTGTGGGATGACACCTAACATTCTTCATTATTCATCGATTAATGAAAATAGATGAAAATGTGAGAGACAGTCTGAAAAATGAAAGGATTTAGTTAAGTCATTTCTGAAATTTCAGACTGTAGGGTTTAACTTGTTAAGGCTTTTCAGTTGTTGAAATATTGCTAAAGTATCATACAGCCATCTGTCTGAAGCTTTTAAAGTAATGTGTTACAGAGATTTAGGAAACTGCATGGTTGCAAATAATGAATTTATTCGGTTGTTGTGATATTCTTTAGCTGCCACTTTCATGCAATTTTATGTTTTGGAAAAGGTAAAGATTTATTTCCCCTCACCGCATTCGGAACTTCCCACCCCAGTTTTGAGAAATGAATGTAACAGCTGTCGAGATACCTGTTATATTAATGGCAAACCTACGCCTTCTCCGCACCCCCTCCCCCCTCGGAACAGAAAGCCGCCATCTATTGTTGGAAGGAAAAGGGGAATATTTTGTCACAGGATATGAAACAAACTTATCCTTTTATTAAATCAAAATAGATTCTCTAATGTTTATGAACATCAAACAGTATTTCATCTCTTTTAGTCTTGGTTCAAAGGCTCAGACAGTACCATTCCCAAGTACCTAGTTCATTTGCCCACAAAGCAGAAGAGAAAAGCTGTTTTGTTCTGAAGAATGTTAAATTTAGGATCTGAAGGGTCAAGTTCATTTCAAATTAATGTGGGGACCTAGACTGTGAAACATGGGAATCCTTGTAAATTTGCTGACTTTCATCAAGACTTCTCTCTTCCTGGATGTCTTTATTGCATAGTCAGATAAATTTTGTTTATATTTTTTAGTCAGATTAATTTTAAATGCAACATTGTTGCTACGTAAGTTTTAAAAGCTTCAACCTTAACCCTAAAATTGTAGACTATTATTAATTTCACGCTTACTTTTTAATAAAGATCAAGTTTGTATTAATATCTTTTTTTTTTTTTTTTGGCATAGAAGGACTGGGATGTAGGCCAAGAGGTGAGGGGTTGAGAGGATTCACCAGAGACAAGAGTTGGGAGCAGAACAGGCAGATCTATTGAAATACACTGCTGAGGGGAGCAGAGACAGGAGAGGTCTGTTGTGCCATGTGGGTCAGCTACCTGGCCAGGCATAGAACTCAGGCTATAGTGGTGATAGCGATATCACTTAACTCCTATACCACCAAGGAGGCCTTCACTTCTTTTTTTTTTTTTTAAAAAGCTTTGCTATTAAGAATATCACAGAATAAATTCATAGTGTCTTCAGTTTTTATGTTAATGCCAAATTATGGGTTTTCTTAGCCTCTGTCCAGAAAAGACTGTCTCTCTTCTAAATTGAAAGATGTTGGCACCATTTTTAAAGCAGTGATTTGAATCTGCTGTGATATTTGCCAGTAGACTCTTTATATGGAGCCATTACTCACATAAAGGATGTTGAGGTCAAAGGAAGAAAACATAAAATAATGTCATCCTACAGAGCTGCTCTTGAGAGAAAAACTAAATAGGTGACATCAAACAC